CTCGATGTCTAGCCTGAACCTACTCTCCGTCCACTTTTTGGCCTTTTTTCTTTTTTCTCCCGGGAGTGCTCGGGGGAACAGGGACTCTCCCATTGCTTGCTGGTTCCCCTTGGCCAGTTCATTCACACATACACTTTTATTCACCATTTTATATGATAACATTCTGTAGTAGGAGGCTGAAGGACTAATTCAGTTGAGCCATCTTCACTGTAAAACCAAATGAAATCATTTTGGGTGTATTTTCAGAAAGAGAGTACCATCTTATCCAGAATGATTTCCCAAAAAAAAGATCAATTAACCCTTGGCCCAAAAGCATTCATGTATATGGTAGGGTAGAATAATTACCTCCACGGTAGCAATGAGTGGGTGAAATTTAATAGTTTGAGTGGTTCTGGGGGTCAGACAAGTTCATAATGACAGTTTTTTAACTTTAAAAAAATCTTTGAATATTTGAAATCTTTCAAGATGCTTCTAGATGTTAGATCCAGACAAACATCCAGGACAAAGATTCAGAAAGGTATGAATATTTTTTCCCCCTAAATAAAGACCCGGTGGGAAACAGACTTGCTGATGTTTTTCTTTCTTTTCTTTTTTCATTTTTAATCTTCCCCCATATCCATTTCAGACACAGTGTCAACTCTTTCCTTTCCCCTCAGGCTAACTATGATTTTAAAAGGCTTCTACCCTGTTTGACTGAATTGTTTTTTATTAGATTTAGGAGTTACGTATAATGAGTACAAGTATGCACCAGTCAAGAATCTTTACAGGACATACTGTATGGCAGAATGTAATGAATACAAGGCACTAAACAGTATTGGATATAATCACTTCAAATTAGTGTGATAACCAGGCAGAGCTTGATCATGTGGCTCAACTCCCTTCAAAGTTGGGAGGAGGCAATTTACATTTCCTTTACAGTACTTTAAGGGCTAATCATAAATTTTAAGGAGCTGACGGTTGTATACTTTTACTGCAGTGTAAATCATTTAGCGCCTCCTAATTTTCATGAACAGTGAACAAACAAAGGGTAGACAATGGACAGATTGTGTTTATTTTTATGGATTAGCTTTCCAACTCAAACTGTCTGCTGCCTTCCAAAACAGTGTGATTTGCTAGCTCTACACAAAGTGATCTTTCTATGAGGGAAAAAAATGCAAAAACAGTGTCACCTGGTGGCCAGATGTATCTGTATTCTGTGTATATTAAAAAAGGGGCTTCCCTCATGGGTGGGGGCATTGCCACCTTCAAGGCAAATAGGCCACTGGGGTTTTCTCACATTAGTATTTATTTCTTCTGAAAACCAGAACAGAAGCACAAAATCAATATGAAGAGAATTCATCTGATGGGAACCCTCAGGAAAATGGGAATTTTCTTCTATTAATGTGGATTTCATGTTCTCAGTTACAGGTGATTTGTTCTGAAGTCTTCTAAGACAACATTCCTCAGGACTGAGGAATCGGATGAACTAGGGGCTTGCAGACAGCAAGGATGTTACTTTACTCCTGGGTTAATTTAGGTTTTTCATCCGTGTTGGAGCCTCTTTTGCTGCTCATCCACATATAAAAACCTTTCATCCACATTTAACATGATTTTCAATGGGCATTATCTGGCATGGCTGGACATATGGGTAATATCCAGAATCTGCTTTCACTCGGGCTGCTCCACTTAGAAATGAAGTTAAATCACTGAAGAGTTCATAGTTATATAGTGCCTTCCACAATACTGCAGATATGTCCAGAAAATCAGAACATTTTTCCCACAAGCTACTAAGAATCAAGGGATGATTCACCAGTCTGCAGCACAAAGTACATACAATATACACCTAAAAGTCTAGTGTCACAAAGGTGTACCATCAGGGATTGTTCACATACAGGCTACGCTCAAAGCCGGGTGTCAGGTAAGGTCTCTCTGATGTCAACTGAATGCTTACCTTAAATAAGTGCAGGAGCAAAAACAAGCCATTAGCACCTTAACTGTCAGACAGTTCAAGGTAACAAGGTAGCATCTTGGCATGGAGGGGGTGCTCAAAAGTAAATTTTATATATAATATATAATCATAATTGCCACTCACCATAGAAGTCGATGACTGTATGGAGCAGAACTAGAACTACCTTGGGTGAAATCTGGATCCCACAGTAGTAGTTACTGGAAATTTGGACTTCTGCCATATGTACACCAGATAAATATGATTTGTTTATGTGACTCTAAATTAAATCTGGATGGCAATTTTTATTTTAAGATTCTTCTAAGGAAAACCCAAATTTCAGGTTTTGCCTTTCTGAATAACTGCTTCTACTGGCCAAAAAGAGGTCCAAAATCCTCTGGAAGGATTATTAAATTATGAAAAAAATGGTGCTAGAAGTAATTAATCCTTTGTACAAATGACAAATACTTACCTAACATTTGTATAATATCTGGAACATGAAATGCTTAGACTATTTAAACTTAGATTTATAAGTTACCTCATCACAAATAAGAACAAACCAACCCCCAAACATGGCAGTTTTTCAATTGCGTAGCATGAATTCCATTTATCCACAACTTCCAGGACATTACTAATAAAAGTAATTAGATTTTAGGTTTCTCAATTTTTTTTCAGCTTGAGACAACCTTAAAGGGCTCTGTTCATGAAAATCAGAACCTTTGAATATATATCAAGTTGAACACCAACAATATGAGACTCCCAAAACATTGGTCACTTTTAAAACTCTTGGACTAATTTTTAAAAGTGCCTTTCATTAAGAAGGATTACAGTCTTGGTTGTTTGTTTGTGTTGCAAATCAAAACCCAATCTTACAAGATGATGAGTGCCTTTTGTACAGGTCTGAGTAGCTCTGAGGGTGTGGGGTACCTTGCAGGTTTTAATCATAATTATGTTCTTTTTGAAGTCAATGCAGAAACTCCAGAAAGGCCTTTTTGACACCTCTCTGAATCTCTTGACTAACAAAGATTATTCACGAGCCACTTCAATTACCAATCAATCTCAGTCATGTTTGGTTTGATGTGTGGTAATGTTTCACATAGAAACTGCACCAAAACATCAAGAAAGAAAATGAGGAGCTCTCACCTTGAGAAGGTCAAGTGCAATTTAATATCTTATTATTGTAATTTGGGCTCGATAATGATGAGAACTGGAAATGAAATGGAAGAGAAAAAAGAAAATATTCAAACTCCAGTTTAATTTTTGCTCACACACTGATTTGTTTATATATTTACAATAACTTCTGTACTTTCAGCTCGATCTAGGGAGCTCAGCACCCTGACAGTTGGCTCTGGTTGGTTTATTGACTATTTGAGGGACAGGGAAAAAAAAATGTTTCTGCAACCTGTTTTCCTTCCAAAGCCTGCTGTCCCACAAGGGAAACAAATGTGCTTTTGACTGTTAAAAATGATAACCAGTATAATACCTGAACAATTATAAATGTCTATGAAGATTTCATTTAGTTCTATCTCAAGAGACATACTGTCTTCTAACAGTCAAAACTGATGGGCCTTTGGGATGAGATTTTGTAGCCAGCATGTCTGCTTGTTTTGTTTTGTTTTGAATAATTCAACTTGCCATTAAAATACCATGGATTTTTACAAACATCCTCTTTCCAAGGATCTCTTTTTCTCTTTGGTTTTCTCACTTCACCATATTTTATTTTATTGTCCTCCAATAAAAGTTACAAGCTAGTGTAGGGTAGCAGGAATATTTGTGTCCAAAAGTTCAGAACATTTGTGGTGTTAGGTAATAAAAAATGCTAACATTGTCCCCTAAGTAAATAGAAGAACAATGATCAAAGGTTCTGGATACTTTTATGCATAAAGGTATGAAAAGTCCTAATTGTACCCCATTTACTCTGTAGTGTGAGTTCTCTGAATTTGTCCACTGAAATCAACCTTGGATGTGAATATGGCATTTGAAAAGAAGCACAGTAGAGACCTAGGTGGCATTCTATTTTTCCCCATGAATCTACATGGCATTTCTGGTACTTACATGCCCTGAGCTATTCTATTCCTGGACATGGTGCTGTGCACACGTGAATACCTATCTATGCTTATGGACTAGCATGCAAAGTGGTAGCCAGGACATATATGCACACTCCTTGTGAATGTGTGGTTGTCCTAGATAGCCAAAACCCACAGTTAGTGGATTTAAACTTGGTAATGGTGACAGAATGAAGGTGAGAGAAAGAGCCTTCATGTCCCATCCCCACCAAATATCTGAGGGGCTAGGGCACTCACTTAACCATGTTTGCAGGACTATGCATTCATAAAGAAAATTCCTGTGGGTGCATAAGTGCCAAAAATGCCATGTAGACAACCAAACCTGGATGCTTAATCCCATACAGAAGAGTGAGGATGTGCAGTATGTGGTGTCACAGCCTTATCTTCACTGCCTATGCAGGCATTCCCTGCACTGGTACTTTGTAGCCTGGGGGATATTTATTGACCCCAGGAGATCCCAGGGTAAAAAAAAACTCATGCTGAGAAAAAGCCAGGTGGTGCACATGGTGACAGTATGTGCCACCCAAAACTGGAGCCTGGCAAGCCGGTGCCATGCTGCGGCTGTTGGCCAGGCTTCCTGCCATGGTTGCAGCTGCAGAAGGCCCCCAGGACAGGCTGCTGGGGCCAGCAGCTTCCCTTACCCCATCTCCGGTAGCCTGCTGTGCACCAGAGCCCATGTATCATGGGTGTTCCCCAGGGACAAGTAGTAGTGGCACAAGGTGTGCTGCCGCTACTTGTTCCCAGGGGAACAAATGTTCAGGCTCTTCTGGGTGTTCCCTTAAGTAAACATGAAGGGAACAGAATGCCACGCTTGGGCTTCTGCTCTCCATACTGCGGATAAATACTGTTTGTTTAGACCACATTCTCTTTCCTGTAGTTTAAACATGGATGGCCATCTTCATTTTACTTTTCTAAGCAGACCCACCTATTAAAGATTTCCAATATGAAAGAAGCGGTGGCCATTTATAATGCAGTGCAATATTACACAGCTTTTGAGCACAGAAGGTAAAGAATGTGGTGCACAGTTAAATCTACAGAATCTATTTACCCAAATTAAATCCTAGAGATTTAAATCTTAAATCTACAGAATATATTTAGCCCAATTTCAATGTGACCAGAGGGATAACAAACCCTGAACTCTTGCAAAAGTCTCATGAGATAGCAATAGCAATTGGCAATCTTAGTTATATGCATTGTAATAGTACATTGCCATCTGGCATCAAGCCCGAATACTGGTGTATTGTTGATTGAGGCAACAGACTGCTATTGATCAAACAACTGACATATGTCCTTCTTTATAATTTGTCCTAATGGAAGATAATGTTTTTGAAGCACTGCAGCTTAAAAAAAAAACAAACCAAAAATCCCCAAGATATATTTCACTTACTATTAAACAGGAAAAGTTGCATTCAAAGGTACTCTACCATAGAAAAGAATACACCTATTGTTGGTACTTTCAGAAAAAAAACCCATGGATCATGCTTAAAAGCAAGCTTTCAACCATGCATTATTGAACTGAACATAGACTTCCCTTTTTATAAAGTGCTTGCCTAGTGCCTACCTGTTTCTCCATATTGGTGGGAAAAATGGGGTGTAAAAACTCATCTGGGATATATGTATCTAGAATTTTACTGGTCATGAAACATCTTTATTGCTGAATGCATATTAAATGATGACAACGTTTATGGAATAAGAAAAATAAATAAATCTGAACAGGACGGACTGTGTTAAATATGTACTGTACTGATCTGAGAACAAGTTCAAGCAAAGTTCAGTGACTTACTGTTTAAGTGAAGAAAAAGCATTAGTTGCAACCTATCAGAAAGGTATCTTCTGACTTCTAAGCAACTGTTATTTAATATGTGTACCATACCAAACACACGGGCATTGGCTCTGAGGTTTACATCCTGCTGAATGCACTCAATTCCCCCACACTAATTTAAGACACCTGAGGATAATTCTAGAAAGCAAGCTACTCAGGCCAGAATGTCTTCAAGGAAGACTGTGATAGACAACGATCTTTTATGTCTGGTATAAATTGCAGCTTCAGGTTCATATAGTTAGAATTCACATATTGGGGCTGAAGTGAACTGAATCCCTTCTATGTAAGTATGTTCTGGTTTTTCGAGGGGAGGGGGGAGGGAGTTGTCCCCCCCTAAAAATATCTTTGGTACTTAGGCTATGCTGTTAAAATATTGTTTCTGCCATTTTATTAGGGAATAATGAAACAGCTGTAACAATGAAAAATAAAAGTTTTATGAATTTACTCCTGCTGAGTTTAGACAACCCCTCTCGCTTTCATACACATGCCTACCTACACACACATACATACTTCTATCTTTCTCAACTAATATAGGATTTGAGTATCCGGACATCTCAGATTTCAATGGATTTATTTCAGTGTGGTCCATAGTTTCTAATAGTGTTTCTGTGAAAACACTGAAGTATATCTGGCAGTTGCACTGCAATCAGCTACTCTGGTCCCTGAAGTCCTGGAGAGAATACATTCAGTACTGGATTTTGGATGAACTGTGGAGCTTGTTCTGATTTACAAATTAGAACATAAAGTATCCCTATGGGCTTTGCTTTATTTCATCACCAGTCATGACTGATGAGTGCAAACTTTCTCCTGCAGCTTCAGAGAGAGGAATCCAAACCCTTTCTGAATGGCATAGAATCACCTAGCTCTAGAGCAGACATTCTCCCCCTGATTTAATTAATGATGTCTTCTCTCATTCAGGGCCTCCAGAGGGATTATGCTTATAACTAGAAAGAGCAATGTATTGCAGTCATTTTATTCACTTTTCTGGTTGCCAATTCCTTTTTTCCAACATACTTACTGGTCCCTCCATCACTCCCTTCATTTTTGCCATGAAAGCCATCAAAAGGGCTTTAAATGAAGCCTTGAAGATTATGATAGCCCCAGTTCCTCTCTCTTCAATATAGTAAATAGCCACTTTTCAAGACTGGCTTTATCCAAGTAATACTAAGTAGACAGTAGTGAAAAGAGAGCAGTATTCATGAAAATGAATAGTTGTTAGCAGGACATGGGAAGAAGAAAGTGAAAGCTAGTGTATGGAAGGAAAATCAGGGTCTATCGTAACACGACAATATTGGGCACATTGCTTAGAAATTTGACACTGATTCATAGTACAGCCTCCAGTAACAAATGTGTGCCAAACCATCTAAAAAAGATTCAAAATTGTAGCTAATAAATATCACGTAGTATAGTTAGACATATTTATACAACCTGACCAAAATATTCCATGCCTTTCTGTTTAATATCTGTCTGCCTGTATGCATGTGTATGCCATGTGTGCATGTGAGTCAATTCAACACTCCAGATTTATAAAATAAATAAATAAAATTGTTTAAAGATGACACGCAGTCTTATAGTAGTTTATATCTGTGCTGTTTCACATGCTCCACTTTCATTGTGCCTGGTCTGAGTGACAATAAAAGGAGAAAGTGAAATATGCTTCTTTCCTCCCAGCACGTGAACTTCTGTGCACAGGCACAGCAGAATCACAGTTTAAAAGTTTTTGCGGGGGCTAAACTCAGCAAACTTTAGGCAAAAAGCGGGTACGGAAGGGCAGGACATTTACAGCAGTCTTATTTCAGAATTAACCTATTTGTAAAGGGTAAGAAAGGAATCATAAAAGAAGAAAATTGGGTTG